AAAAAAAAAAAAAAATCCAAAACCTTGTGAATTAAAATCTTTTTCTTTGCATGCATAAATTTATCTTTATTTTAAAGGTAGGCAAAATTTTAGGAATTACTATTATTTAGTTGGGAATTATGAAGCACTTTAGTTAAAAATTTTACACATTTTAAAATTTGTTCAAATTATTCCTTTTTTCAGCTTCAAAACAGCGACGTGATCTTTCTTAAGCACTGCAATTTACTAACAGTGTATTGCAGGAGATTTTGACGTCATCTGCAAGACTCATTTTAAACTCGTTTCTTTCTTCAGACTTTCTACGCGTTACTGGTTCTTCATAATTTTTAATTTCTTAGTACATTAGTGAAAATACTTACCATCGCTTTGCATTTAAAATCAATTTTCATAGATCAGGTAAATAAACTAGACCAATTATATTATCTGACCTCAGAATTGTTCGTTGAAATTCCAGGGAAACATTGAGCAACTAGTAACTTATTACAGTTGAAAGAAGCTAAAATCCTGCAGTTTAAGTAAGAAAACAAGCGAACTTCATTCCATTCCATAAAATTGTTTAATCCCAAACTATCTGAGCATTCAATGCCTTATTAAATTATGTAGATAATACAATACTTTTTGATTTAAAAGTCACAATATGATACACATTACAAGATATAACTGGTCAAATAAATACATATTCATGGTAAAAGTGTATTCTGCTCTTTGAAACATATGCCAAATATTTGCAGTGAATAATTTTTCAATTTTAATTAAATAACAGTTTTGGGATTTGGACGTTAAAACTTTAGCCTGTGTCCGATTATTTTATGCCTTAGGATTGATGTTAGAAGCTCATGATGCCTATTTGTTAGGCAGTTTCAAGAAATGAAATTGAGCAAAATGTATATCTGTATTATAAATGTTAATTAACATTTTGGAATTTTGAATCGGAAACGCATAACAAGTCGGTTTTAATTCTGATAATGAGAATTCGTTAAATGTTTAAGACGCAGACTTAAAAAATTAATTTTCTTAATTGATGAAGTTTAGGTCAAATATTTATCAGGAGAGAGATAAATATATAATTTGGGCCTCAGCGTTAAATCTTGAGGTTTCAGTAAAGCTTTATGATCCTTTAAAACCAGCTTAATATTTATATAAATTATAAAATACTACATTTATGATCTAGGGAGTATAAGACAAGTTTACAAGTTAACTTTTTTAGAAGTTACGTTGTAAAAATATTTGGTTCGGATTCAGTAGTTTATTATTGGTCCCCTTTTCTAGTACAAAGTATAATACAAATCTTCTCTTTTAACCTTCATCCCAACTGCATATGCTTCATTGTGAGAGCTATTCGTGAGGCAAAATTTTTTTAAGCTAATTAATGATTTTTTATGTAACCAACTGGTTAATTTTGAATAAATTCCTTAAATAATATTTTTCGATGAGTTTTACAAGATAGTAGCGTAATTTAACGCAATCGCATTCTTAAAATTAATGATTTAGTATGATAAATTTCAGTACCATTACTTGCAAAGATTAGTGTATGTATGTTAATTTTGAGTGCGAAATGATAAAGCTATTTACATTTATATTCAAGCTTAAAAGATGATCATCTAAAAATCATTTACAGATGGTTGCTCGTACTATGCTATGGATTCGGAACTTATAGATTCGCAGTAATATTAAGCTGTATTGAAAATGACATATTACAGATTTCACAAATGCAAATTAATATATACTGGTGTGCAAAAATTAAGGACAAAGTCGAAAAATTAGCATATCAGCTGAACGAAGAGGCAGAGCGGACAGAAAAACCAATCAGGAGATTAAGTAAGGTGATGTACGTAGCACATGCGCAGATATGATAGACGTAATGGGGGTCTTGAGTATATAAGCTGTTGTCGGTAAGTTCAGTATTTTGGCAAAGAGATGCACGCCGTATGCAGTTAAAATCACACGAGTGCTGCTCATGGAGAAATGGCGAATATCAATTGTAGACGACATCGATGCTTACCCGGGGCGAAACCATTGGGAAGTTGGAGGAAGGCCGCAGTGTGACAAGTGTGGCTGCAGAGTTGAATTGCACAGCATCGTTAACGACTTTGGAGACAATTTCAAAATACAGGAACGTATCCGGGGTTTAGTAGTGGGGTCCACGAGGAACCACACCCGCGATGACCGTATATTGCCTTACAGACCAGAAGAACGGCGGCAGACAGCGGGAGAAATCCCTAGACACGATACAGGCGCTGGCGACCGATATCGCGTTTACCGGGCCAAAGATAACGGTGGTGTCTGTTTGCACGACCCCTTACGGTGTGTACCTACGCCTGCCATCGGAGAAGGCGTCTCCGTGGGGGGAACACCGGATTGGAGAACAATGAATGGGGGCGAGTACTCTTTCAGTAAGAGCAGATTCAGTTGAGTAGCGATTTCATCGCATCTCTTGGAGGAGCGGGGAAGCGCAACATCCTCGAATCATTGAAAGGGAAGGTAGGAGGTGGCGGTGTTTAGTTTGGGGAGGCATCATGTGGTAGTGTACAGACTCACATCTTCGACGCGGTTCAGTTCAACGGACCGTTTTAACGAATCTTCTTCCATATGTGCGTCTTTTTAGAGGCGCTAGGGTCCGCAGTTCCTTTCATGGCCGCAATGCAAATGTATCGCACAGTAGCTCGAAAGCTCTTAGAGAGGAGGATCTTGACGTATGGATTGGCCGGCACGATTCCGGATCTAATCCCATCGAGCATGAGGATTTTCTAGGCAGACGCTTGGCAGCTCGTACTTACTACCAGTAAGATTCGGAGCTTCAATTGGCGCTGCAAGCGAATGGCAGACGCCTCACAACTCATTGAACCTATCTAGCATGGCAGACGCGTGAAATCCTAGCAGTCAGGGGAGATCATATCCGTATTAAAGACCGGATGTTTCTTGCTGGCACTATCACAGGATGTTTCGGCCTTCAGTCGCATTGCGCTCCATGCTACGTTTTCAATAAGCTTCTTTGTATCCTGATTTCTCTTTAGTAAGTGTTGCTTACATTACTCATGTCTTACGTATGGGGTCTACGGTATAAGTGTTGTTGGAAGCTTTGTACAAGTTTATGAAAAAACCGTCTCGTCCTTAATTTTTGCACACCAGTGTACATCATGCTATTCCATACCTAAATTTTACAAAATGCTTAATATTTTAAAATGTGTGCCGGGAATACCACTAATACTTACATATATTTTAATTATTAATTTGCACGCATTGAATACTCTTATTTTTGTTGACTGAACCTTTCAACTAAAGAGAATTAAAAAATGAATTCTCCGCTAACTCTATATGTTACTGTAAATTATAGTCTACTTACTTGATACTGAACTATGGACCTCAACCGGTAATTCAATACCATATTAAAAAGAAGCATTTTTATTGATAATGAGCACTGAGTAATAAATTTTAGTCGCTAAAATTTTAAATTATGAACTAAATCTCTTAACGCCTGAAAACGATTAATTTATGTATTACTCATAAAAGAATTGCAGTTTCAAATAGTTTTCTCATAAAATTAATACTGCAGAATATTGTGTAGTTTCAGAAACACCTTTAATTTTATGATGAATTTCTCCAACATTTGAAAAATGTTTGTTATAATTCCACGAGTAAAAATTTGGTATATTTAAACATGAATAGATATTTTAAGGATGTATTTAGTGCGAAGGGGGCTACTACAGTGCCAGGAAATATATTATTCAGTAGTATGCTATGAAATAAGACTCGAAGATAAAAAGGTGTAATACATATTTTGACGCACCGCTGAAAGATGTACAAAAATATGGTTCTATCATAATAAAATACAGAATTAAACATTTATAACAGCTTTAATTCTTTAGTACGCTGTAAATAGCTAAGTTTAATATTATTTTAGCTGCAATAAATACGCAAATTTTTGCACAGAGGTAGATTAATTTCCAAAATGAAATTTAAGAAACATCAGAGAATAGTATCTGATCTTTGGGTTTTAACAGAGATTTTGAAAATATTTTAATATTAACAGCATGCCTACATTCTGTGTCTAATGAACGCAGACGTGTATTTAATGTTAAAGTGGATATATAAAAGTGATATATTAAAAGAAGTGATACAAGCATTTACAACTGAGAATGGCATCTAAAACTCAGCTGATTTTTTTTCTAAATATATGGTTATATAAATACAATGTCATCGAGATAAGAAAGGGAATACAAGGAAACGTTTAAATTTTTATTTGGCATGGTGAAAACCAAAAGAACACCGGCATTATCTCTCGCTTAAAATATTTTCTTATTTGCCAGAAGAATATCAAGTGTATTTCGGTATGTTCGCCATTTTCAGCGAACCTTTTTAATATACTTTATATTAAAAAAATGCTTACCATTTCTGTGAATAACTGATTTTATATTCAGAAGGGTTTATCAAAATTTACTTTATCTAAAGATCCGTAGGTTCGAACCATTCCAGTCAAGTGCAAGTGTTTCACTACTCAAAAATTATATCTACAAGATAAAAGAAAAGTTTAATTCTTAAAACCATGTGCGTGTATTCTGAAGAGATCTGACAGTTATAGAATGATACAATGCTGTAATATGAGTCTCACAAAGTGATCAAAAACAGATCACAAGACGTAATCATAAAGTCTCATAAACCGATCGAATAAATTTTTAAGTTTTTAACATCCTCCACACTTGAGGGTAGCCTCTACTAAAAACTCGTATGCAGTTAGGTATTCAGAAGCTGTTTCACATTGCGTAATCTGCTTCAGAGATTTACACCCCGGATTAAACTTTGAAGCCGTAGAAAATAAACTGTACGATATTTAATATAAATATTAACATAGAAAAATCCACCCGAAAATTTTATTATTTTAATTCGTGCTTAAATCTTATATTTACATTATACGGTTAATCATTTTGACCATTAGTACAAAAACATTTAAGAGCTGCATTTGGTATTATGCTTATACATTCGAAATTAGATCATGCATGAAATAATAAATCGAGAGCAGATATAGATCTCTGTAATAAACTTCTGTCTCTGCGTGCAAATGATGTATTTCGTCCTTGAATAAAAAGGGCTCCATAAATGTCAAAAAATAAAACGAGTTCTAGATCTTGCTCAGGTATCGTGGCTGACCATTTACCAAGAAATTTTCTTTTATTTTAGAAATCTTGTTCATTTCTTCAGCCCAGTTATGCACTTTAGTACATTTATGTAAGTATAAAAAACATTACTTACCTAACATCAATGAAATAAATGCTGAATGTGTGAATACTTCAGTTTGTATTTTTATTACAAGTGACTGGTCTTTGAAAACTTTGAATAGAGTTTATAAACAAAATTAGAGTAGATGATACTTTTATATCATCTTTGTAAGTTAAAATGAGATATGGATATAAAATTTTTAAGACACAAAACTTCGTTAATGTCAAACAGTGTAATGTGCCGGAAACTCAATAAAATATTTGATTGTGAAACAAGGTTTTGCACTGCATGGATCAAATATGTGCACAACCCCTCTCAAGGTTTAACAAAAATACAATTAACGGTGTTTGTATATCGGTATTAACGGTGTTTGGTGGAAACTTAGGAAATGTATTTCTCAAAATAAATAATACAAACTTAAAATTAAGTTAATAGAAAACTGAATTTGGAAAACGTGATATAACAAATTTCAGATTATTCAGAAAATGTTTTTAAGTGCAACATTTCCACTATTACTTAATTGCGTATTTGATGAGCATGAAGATTAACTGTACATTCAGTTATTTTAATTAGTTTGAAAAATATAGCATATATATAAGAGCGTACTTTATACTTTACAATGCATTTGAAATACGTATAAATTACATAATTTGAAGAAATCTGCTTCAAATATAACATATCAAGTAAAAATATATTTACCATAAAAATAAAACTGTTAATATGCTATATTTATCTGCATTTACATTTTGTTTCTTCTTGAAGAAAAAGCTGCTTTTATACCAAAAAAAGTAAATAGTTGCGTTTCATCAGATTCTAACAGTAAATATCTATGTTCTTTTATTGCTATAGAAAATTAACTTCATTGAATTATTAATATATTACGAATCTAAATATATTAGCCTACTGTCCAAATGCTAGTTTTAAATTCACGTTAAAAATATGTTTGATCCCTCCAAGAAATTTACAGAATACTGAAAATTTAAAATATTTAAAAATTCAAGTGCACCTATAAATCGACTCAAGTTCAGAAAGAGCTAAAGTACATTCCAGAATAATACATTGTGTCGTTACTTCGAATACCATACAAGTGAGAAAACACTCATTGCACTCATTTCACACTGATTTCATTAAACACCAAACGACAAGGAGTCCTATCACATTTATGCACAGGTAAAGTAAACCAATAAATTTTCAGGATGTAATAAACCCTAAGTCTATATTTGGAGGTGACGGTAATTGGATAAATTTAGGCAAGGGTCTTCGAGGCCAGGTATTAAATTTTTTCAGCTTCAGTCCTTGTTCCCATATGGTATTCATCTTTTTGACATATGGATGTATGTTCAACTCGATCCATTCACTGACCGTATCGTCGTCATACGCTTCTCTAAGGGCCTTAACGGCAGCATCTTGAAGCATTTGTAGAGAAGAATTGTAATAACTGAAATCTCTGAGCAGTTCATTTACCCGTAATGGACTTGAAAAGTTATGATTAACGTTATATTCTGTCATCCATCCTTTGTGTGAGGATATGTCATTTATGTATTTGTCAAGAGACTTTGCTACATCATTGTGTCGCAGAGTGAGGCGAAATACTGAAGATCCAGGAAAGAAACAAACACCTAAAGCTCGCCACATATATGGATCATGTTCTAAATCTAAGTGATAATGAACTCGCGAAGAACATTCTAAAATTTCTTGGACTTGAGGAAATATTTTGCGGTCAAAGCGACCACGAGTCACAGTTAAAAGATTCAAGACCAGTGATGGCAAAGCTGCAGGTAAGAGCTCACAGAGGGAAGCGAAGTGGTCATACCTTTGCCATCCAGTCAGCGCAATGCCTCTGAAACCTTTGAAACTATTGTTTTGTTCACTCATTACTGTAAGCCAGGCAACATTATTTTCCAAGTGCCTCTTGGCATCTGGCACTGTCAACGTTTCCCCAAAAGCACCTTTAAAAGCACTTGCTGTCCACATGTAAGGGAATACTTCACTGTATTTCTCCCATAGACTACTTGGGAGAAACAAGTATACGTCCTCAACGTATGTCCAAGCCATCGGTTCAACTAGCTTTCCCATTTCATACTTCTCCAATTCTGAAACAGAAGCGTGACGGAGCATATCGTCCCACATAATGGGAATAACTTTATGTTGTTCTCTTACATATTTAGCAACTTTACGAACGTAAGCTAGAAAAAGGCTATTTCTTTCATATCTAGAACACCTTGAACAGTGTCCTAATTGATATACTTCATCACTGCCAATATGAAGCCAGTTTGAATTTGGATGCAAGGCCATAATTTGATCAATCATCATTTTAACCATTACTAGAGATCCATTGTTTGTTGGACACAATGACTGTGGAATATCTTCTACTTCTCTTAAATGTTTGAACTCGGGAAGTTTCAGCACAAACTCTAGATGTCCGAAAGTTTGTACCAAAGGGATAACAAGCAAGTCATGGTTTTTCGCAAGTTCGAGAATATATCGAATTTGTTTCTTTTGGTATGCATTATGTGCAGCTATTGATGATAGTGGGCCCCAAAAAGGAAACGTATCTTCATATTCCATCAAAATTCCATTAGCACCTGCAGATTTTATTAAAGGAAATATTGCTTTGAAAAATGAAATTTTAGGAGGAGCGCCTTTCAAATCAAAGTGCACCAAACGAAGAGGGGGGATATATACGTTTGCTTTTGGACTTTCACTAGTCGAAGTGTTACTTCCATCTCCAGGGTAAGATGTCTTTTGTTTTGAACGAACTAAAAATGATGTGGGCTTAATTCCTTTATCCGCATACTTCTCTCTGACAGATTTCTGTTTCTGCTTGCTGTTCGGACGTTGTTCTTTGGAATGATGATCATGAATATCATTTTCTGATCTATGTTTATCTCGATATGATTGGGCTGTAGGAGAATAATTGTTTTGCTTGCTAGCCTGTTGGTTTATATTAAATGCTTTCTCGTTACCTTCAGGTGAAGTAAGTGGATTAGAAATTTTTAAAAATTGCATTTTTGTTGTAGATCTTCCTGAAGTTTCAAGAATATTATTACGATCAGTGTTTATTGGATGTTTAACAGAAGTTCCATCAGATGGATACCCAACTTCTTCTGGTACAGAGATGTAATGAATATAAAGGTAGAAAACTGCCCATATTAAACATCCGGAGACTACAAGAAATTTTCGACGCCATATGGTCATCATAATGATATGAACAGAGTTTCTTAAGCCTTCTCGCATTTTACCTGTAAAGAAAATATAAATATCATTAGCAGATACATTACCACACTTAAAAACTGTTTTTATAATGGTTAAAAGTAAGCCTTTTAGATAATGGTATTAGCATTTTATTGCAGAATATTAACATTAGCATTTTGTCTTCAAATTCGGATGAAGAATGTTAATACGAAGTATAAATATGTCCCAGCTTGGCTCTAAACGAAGCCTTTTCTCTAAAATTTCTTTAACCTTCGTTTTACTGAAATTAACAGCTAGCAATTGCTACATTTTGTTACAGTAAATTAACATCAGCACTTGGTTTTCCAAATAGCATAATAAATATTAATAAAGTGTCAATCTAATCTGAGCCTGGCTTTAAAGGAAGCCTTTTTATCTAAAATTTCATCAACTTCATTTTTACTGAAATTAATACCAACTTTATATAAAATGTTATAATTTGTAAAGCTGGCTTGTGAACATATTTATGAACATACAAGAAAAATTTTGCTAAATTTCTAAAGCGTCTCAATTGTTTTAACTCTAGCTCTGCGTTACAAAATAAATGTTTTAGCTAAAAATATTCGGAAAAATATCTGTTTTAGTGGGATTGGTGAATAAACGGATGGTAAAATTCAAAGCCCATAGCTTGAACAAACCATAATGTGCCAAACGCTTGTTTATTTCACCTTGTGCTCTGATATTTGTTAAACTGCTGTTAATAATTTTCCTAACACTTATTTAATAATAAAATCAAATTTCTTGTAGTTGACGAAACACTTTACTATAGAACGATAGATAAACTTGCTACATTTTGAAGCCCAAAAGCTTAAAAATAAATAAATTAAATTTAAAAAAAAATGGAAGCTTTCAGATTTTACATTACGCCCAAAGGGGCGTTTTTTTTAACGTTTTGTGTTAAATATCATGTTCTTCTCCTTTAAACTATAGAATTCAGTTCAACAGCAATATCACAAAATAATTTTAAAATGAGCCTATCTTTAGAATTTTCGAAACATAGCTCGCGCGCTGGAGATTTAAAAAAAAAAAAAAAAAAATACAATTTCGCCATTTCTTGCTTTGAAATCGTTGAAGTTTGTTAATCATACATTCCTTAATGTCTGACAAAATATGAAATATATAATAAAACAAATTCCAAATTAGGGCTTCCAGATGCCCGTATTCGGCGGAGTATTACATTATTCAAAATTTGATGGTTCTAGGTACCGTTGGTTTATCACAATGCGAGAAACGTACATACATTTATATAGAGTCTTCATTATTTAATTTTTTTAAATATAATATAGAGCTGTAATAGTTGGTGGCAGCAGTTTGAAAAGTGAATCAGCGCAGAAAGTGAATCGACGTAAAATGCCAAAACGAAATTAATGGTCCTTCTGGGCTAACGCCCGTTGGGCTATAAAAGAGGAAGAAAAAAGAATTCTTAGCTCATTTTTGCCTGTGTAATATACAGTGGAACACATAAACTCTAACATTATTCAAGATACGTTTTGTCGAAACTGTGGCTCACATTTTCTATCTTTTACATTGAGGACCCACGAAGATCCCCGATTCTTATTTTTATTTTTCTGTAATAATAGAAAATGTGCATTTTGCGCAAAATGTAAAGTGTAACAGAATGCATAATTCTTTAGTTATAAATGTTTCGCACAACGTTTCTTAACTTAAAACATACACATCCGAAATAAATTATCCCAAACTTCTCTAAGTAACCGTCTTTTCAATCATATTTCGTTACAAACTACACACTAAAACCAAATGCCTGACTGCATATATACGTATATTTATATATAGTAATCAATAATATCCAAACACTTGCAACTCGCAGGTTCTCAATGCTTAATTTTATGTTATCAGACACAGCTATAAGAGTGTCAATTATTTAAACGTTATGTAACTTACGTAGTAGTTATGTAACTTACGTAGTAAATTTATTTAAACGTTATGCAGCTCTTCAGGAACAAAGAATATTCAAAAGAAAGAAGTATTTCAGGGGGAATTTATATCTCAGTAACAATATACGTCGTTACTTAGCAGTATAGAGTATACATGTAATGAGTTATAAATAATTTTATGAACAGAAATGTGCAAAACCTCGTGAAATTAACAATAGATTTTATCATGAAATAATGCCTCTGCTGTTTGGGCGAATGATATGTATTTAACAACTATACGTAGTTAAAATATTATATAAATTGCATATAAGATAAAAAAATAAGTAAAGTATGAAATGATAGTGGTATTTCAGATCCCTTAAGATATATGAATCGCCATGTAACGTTACTCATTAAAAAATAGGAGCTGTTGTGTGATTCATAATAAATTAATTGTTTGGAAAAAAGAAAAATTTACAAGAATAATAATATGAATGAAACAAATGCGCAAATATATTATTACAAAGCTAAATTTTTTTTCTTTGAAAGTAATAATACTCACTGTAGAACTGACATCATCACTGACATAAACATTTACTTTCCGCTGTTGTTTATAAGAGTGTAACTAACACTGTGCATTGTATTAACTGATATTAAATTGTCAATGGGCTGTAACTTCAGCACGGCCAGTGTAGAGCTCATTTGAAGTGTGCAAGATGCAAGATTTGATTCCACTTATACGCCTCAAAAATATCGATCAAAAAGGTATGTGTGATAAAATAATACACGGTTGAGAACTTAAATTCCTTAAAAGTTCTTTATTAGTAAAAGTCGCATTTTCAAGAAATACACGAAAGAAGCCATATAATATAAGAATATTATCCTTTAAATATATTTACAAATCACACACTTAACAGCTACGCAAAGTGTTTTTGGAGCTATTTTTGCAAAATACCATCATTTTGTGCAACAGTTAAGCTTTTAAGATTATTAATCCTTATTGAAGAAGCAGCACAGATAAAAATTAACAACTGTTGTATATCCAAAAGCACCCAGACTAATAGAAACAAGGTTATTTAGGTACGTATGACACGTAGTAGAATTTTGTGCAATGAATATTAAATAAAGGACAAATGGTAGTCAATGATGCTTTATTAGTATTGCTACGTAGTTCTAAATCAGCATGTCCCATTAAATCAATCTTTTCCATACGAGAACAGCATAAACGGGTCTTTTGAATGGCAGGAATCTGAATAGAAAGAAAGCTGAAGAAAAATATTATAATTTCTACATAGTTTGGTTTGGTTTATTTAATTATGGCAAAGCACACTAGGGCTATCTGCCTAAGGGGAGGGATGCCCTTCGTGGAGGACTTTCTAAGGGAAACTGGCTCGTATACACGTTACACCTGCAGAAAACCACGAAAACGCCCATGCAGCCAGACCGTTCGCGGGATTCGAACCTCGGACCGAACTACCAGGTGTTCAGCGACTTTACCGCTCGGCCGCTGGTGGGCAATTTCTACATAGACTAAACTAACCTGAAAGACTGAATGAAGTTTCTTTATGTTTAATTATGATGAGTTTTGTTTTTTGCTTTTGCTAATCTAAAACTTTCAGCAAATTACTATGAGTAATTACATGCATAGATTGCTGTTGAATAACACCCTAGTGATCATTGTTGAGCCTTAATTTTTAACTTCCTTAATTTTCAACTTTAGTATTTGTTTCACACTGAACTGTTAAAATTTTTAAGTAATCTTTTGCTTGAAGTTTACAGAAAATAAAAGGTGTTTTTTCCACAGCAGAGTTTGATAGCAATTCTGTTAATTCTTCTAAATTATAAACTAGTCAATTGAAAGAGGCCGACAATGCAAGAAATGTGTAGAATTCAAAAGGTTATACAAGATAAGCAATAATCACGAAATTCAATCAAAACATTGGCTCAAACCTTTACAACTGCCGATTTAACCTTTTTAATTTGACACGATACTTACGTATCGTACACTTTCCAAGCACTTGAAAACAAAATTAAAGATTATAGTTTCATAAATATTCACTGTTTATTTTACAACGTAAAGCTTTGTTTTAATTTATCATAGCGAATCTTATATCATTAAACGTTTAATCTTTTAAGATTTCTCGCAAAAATACAAAAAAAAAAAAAAAAAAAAAAAAGGTTTCTTATACAAAGAATAAAATATTAACAAGGCAATATATAAGCAATTTTTCTCGCTCAAAAAATCGAACATGGTGATCCCGCTGTTGTAAATATCACATCAGATTTCATTAAAATATTATGTTTTTCAATTCTCATTCACGAAAATATGTTTATGAGCATAACTGTTGAAATCTAAGCAATTCCTATCATTAAAGATTGCTCTTAGTTTTAAGAGCTGGTTAGCCTCGAAGCTATCGAATCAAGAAGAGGGAAGTTTTCTTGAAAAGAATATAGTTCTTGCTTTCGTTATACTATATTATGTGAAAATGACGATAACCTCGCATAATCAACTAACAGAACTGAAGACAAAACAAAAGGTTTTGGGTAACAGAACTGAAGACAAAACAAAAGGTTCGCTGATTTAGTCGCATGGGAGTTGGAGGGGGGCAGAAGAATTTTCTTTCTTGAATATGAGTAGCTTACATCTCAGATACCGTTGATTTTTTAAAATATTTTATGTATTGTTCTGCAGAGAATCCAGATAGAAACTGGTGGGCCGAATAATTCTTTTTAGCTGGGCACACCGTTCTTATCATTTGTTATGAAATGGTAAAAGCATTCCTACAATTTGGCACAGGTGTAATATTATTAATTTTGGACGTCGTTATAGAATCTAAGTTCCTTTATATATAGTTATACAACAACTGGAACAAATATTTCTTCTCATCATTAACAACACATCCCTTATATTACTCAACTTTAGTGTATTAAAATGATTTCGCATTTATTCAAAACATCGAATATGAATATTTCTATGTTTTGAATAAAATGTAGTATATTTTTAACGTATAATTTCATCTTCATGTTATTAGAAATATTCAGCATATTTAGAATGTGACAAAATTTTTTATAAGAACAGATATGAAATTAAAACTGTTTAATGTTTCAAAAGGATATTCTGGTTTAATTA